ACACACAGACTAAAAGGAAGGGCATTGAAAAATATATTGCCTTGATGGACCTAGAGGGTTTTGCGCTGAATGAAGTCAGAGAAAGACAAATACTACATGATTTCACACACATGTCCAATCTAAAGAACAAAATAAATGACGACAACAAAAATGGAAACAAACCCATAGATGCAAAGAAAATTTGTGGGCTGCTATATGGGAAGCGGGGTTGAGGGGATGGTGAAAAAGGGCGAAGGGATTAAGAAGTACAAATGGACAGATACAAAATAATCATGGAGATATATTATTGTATGCCAACTATAATTGGAAAATAACTCATTGAATTGTACAATGTAAAAAAAGATAAAAAATAATTACTGTAAGATAGCATTTTAAAATAAAATTGGAAAGCAATAAAAACTTAACAGATGTTATAGAACAGTGTTCCTCAAAGTATGTCTACTATTATGCCAATGCTAATAGTGTGATGATTCGCATTAAACTGTCCTACATTTAAATCCTAGAACCATTGCTAACCCACTTGGGTGCATTACACAACAATTCTAAGCCTCCCTTTTCCCATCTGTAAAGTGAGAATTGTAATGCCTATCATAGAGGATTGTCATGAAACTAAAATGAGATCATGCATATTAAAATGTATAGTAGAACATCTGATACATAGTAAACAGTGACTAAATGGTAGCTATTATAATTGTTTAAAAGGATTCTAAAGATATCCAGCACTAGGATCATTGATGAGGAGGAAGTGGCAATAGCCAGTGTAGACTAGGTATTCAATGAGCTTGGCTGTGAAAGGACAGAGAGAAGTTAACTGTTTAGGCAGTTGGGGCCAATAGAGTGTTGTTTATAAGATAGGGTGAGGGGACCTGACTAGTTTATTTGCCAAGGGAAGGGTGGGGGAGAGACAGAGAGATGGAGAGAAATTGAAGATACAGAAAGTGAAGACTGAAGAAGTCAAGACACTGAGTTGAGAGAAAAGGATGGAGTCCAGAACCTAAGTGGAGGTTAGCTGAATTAAGAGGAGAAAGTCCCCACAAGCGAGAAGAGGAAAAGACAGATGTAGGCACTGGAAGCTTGTAGGGGGCACTCAGGGAGGCAACAAGATAAGGGAGATCTTGCCTCTGTGAAAAAGAAATGAAGACACAAACTAAGAGTCAGTGGGAAGGTAGTTGGGTTGGAAACTTAAGGAATATAGGAGAAATTTTAACCAGATTTTAAGGAAACTAAGAAAAGGAACTGACTAGCAACATATAGAAGTGTCTATACTAAGGACCTAGCTTAAGATCATTAATTTACATTATCAGCAATATGAAAAGTTGTGTGATTTCTCTTTAGCAGCTCTCAGCATCTCTGATGTCTCTATTTCTGGTGTAGGAATGGAGGGAGTGGGTGCCCTAGTTAATCCAGTGTTAGGTTTTTACAGGGTGAGTACAGCAAAAGGACCCAGAAACAAGAAAGGCAATGTCGGCAATGTTGTTCTGTATTGGTAAAACAAATATTGAAATTGTCCATTGTGCACCTAGGTGGATGAGGAGGTGAAAACAAAATGAGAAAAAGGAGCCGTCATGAGACTGGATGTCACGATAAATTGAAACAGTAGATATAGTCATTCATTTATGTATTGAACACCAGATACTGTCTAGATGCAGGGTATGCGATAGTGTACTAAACAGACACATACATTCTCCCATGGAGACCACATTCTATTGGTTACAAAGAAAAAAATAATATGTATTATATAGTGACACATGCAACTTAAAAAAATAAGGAGAATATGAAGTGAGGGAGAGATTGCTAATTGATATGTAGATGGTCAAAGAAGATCTTATTAATAAAATGATATTGAGTAGAGATGTCATACAAGGAGTCCAGACAGAAAGTATAAAGAGTATCATGAAAACATCAAAAAATAAATGAAGTAAATCTGTCAGGACTTGGAAAATTTATGTTGGACCTGAGTGATCATGGCTTTTCTTCATCTATGTGCACACAACCAATCCTTTTAAGTATATCTGCGTTAAAATTTCTCCCTGATTTAACACCAAGGTTACAATTGTAGAAATCTCCCACTTCATGATTTTTAAAGTAGGAAGTGAAATCAGTTCTAGGCACCTCTCATCTTCTCTACCATGGCGAGCCATCTCTTTTGCAAGTTTGTCCAGTAAGGAATTCTAAGTTTTCTGGGTATAAAGTCTACTGGGTACAAGAACTAGAATTAACTGAGAACTCTCATAGATTATTCAGCTCTTTTTATAGATGTCTTTCACCAATGTTTTGACTATCCTTTTCAAATGTTCTTTTTTGTCTGTTTGAAAGAGAAAAAGAAAGTTGAAAAGTTCCAAATATCAGAACATAGTGATTAAACACATAGGCTTTGAAATAACATATCTGAGTTCAAATCTCAACTATGCCATTAAACAATTGTGTGGCATTTAGCAAAATACTTAAACTTACCATGCCTTAGTTTTCTAACATGTGAAATGTGGATGACGACAGTGCCAACCTCATAGTCACTCTACGGGGATTAAATGAAATGTGAAAAGTATCTGGTAAGAAGTGGAAATGGCTCAATAATGTTGACCATTATTATTATCTATCAACCCTATACTATGAGTTTTTAACAAATAGCAGATAGCAAACCTATCTTTCTTGCTTTTTTCTAGTAGGCATACGATGTGCATGTTTTTATTTAAATAGTAGGGGTGAAAGTTTAAGATTCTCTAGTTCTTTCAAAGTCTTTTAATGAATACTACAAAGTACATCTTCATTTGAGATGTTCATTGTACCAGATGAGGCAGTCGAACTGACAAAAGGCTATTTTGGTCTGAATATCTTGAATAAGCAATTCTTTTGGTTACGTTTTAAGTGCCTTAAACAACTCTAAAGGATACACACACAGACACACACACACGCACACAGACACACACACAGACACACACACACACACCCCTACCATTCTTGGTTTCTACAAGATCACCTCAGTGCTCTGCTTAAAGATTCAAGAATTTAGATTATAAGTTCTGCATTGTGGGGAGAGGTGATGGACATAGCTTGAGAAAGAACAAAGCTTAAGAATTACTGTAAAAGGTCATATAAGCTGTCATTAATATATCTTGCTATTTGACTATGTGAAAATTTCTTAAACTTGCAGAATCTCAGTTTCTCTTTTGTTATGCTATGTTATTTATCTCACAGAGTAGTTGCAAAGATTATATGAAATCTGTAAAGCATTACTCAAATGTTAGTTATTATCATTATAAAAGCCAAGAATTGTATTACATTGAGAGGCACACAATGCTTCTGCTGACATCAGCTTTCTTACTGACTTCCATCTAATTCCATCTAATGTTTCTACTTCCACCAGTGACTGCCACTTCCACTTGTTATTATACTTATGTCAAATAATCAAGTATTATATAAATCTATAAAATATCAGAATGAACGGTAAGAGTTATAGTTTTATGAAACCTAAGTTGAATGTTCCAAGAAGATTCAATGAAGTTGAATGGCTATAACTAAAATTGAAGTTGAGTTAAATACAAATAAGACTAATGTAAAACATTGAGGGAAAAATTCCAGTAGTAAAATCTAGAAGAATTATGTACCTAGATTGCTTTAAAGAATCTGAAACTAAAAATTATAGAGGATGCCGTGGTTTATACCATGAGCCTGGCCTTTCCATGAAAGACCTCCAGTTGGAACGTGTGTTTTGGTGGGGGAGGGTTAATACTTTAAAAAGTTAAAACCTGTCCAATATCAGAAGTTTAGTGAATAAATGTACATTTATGTTTTAAGTTAAAATAAAATATTGAAAACAATATCATTTTTATGATTCTCTGCTGTACCTGACTTGATTGGATAAGAGGACATCTACTATGTTTGCAGTTGTACCTATCCACAACCACGAGGATATGAATCTGCAAAAGTTTTTTTCAAATGAGAAAATATCAAAGTTATAGAGACCGAGAGATGTCCTCCAAAACTAAAATGTTAACAGTCTATACAACTGAGAGCCAAGTTATTAATGGTCAGTAGCCTCCTTTAGCAAGAAATTTTTATTTATCACAGCACAAGGTGGTACAAAATTCTCTTTGGATGTACGTGGCTTAGAATAGTGGTTTTCAAACTATAGGTTGCAAAATAAGTTTAGTAGTTCGTTTAAAAAAGATAAAATAGAAAATAGAGTACATCTCAAGTTAAAAGGATAAATTTGGAATTATATAAAATAAGTTCAACATATACTGGTAGACAAAAGCTACAGATCATTGTAAAAATGAAAAAAGCAACATATTTTTTAACTCAAGTTTTGTATGGAAGGACAAAAATATAAATTGGAATAAAACATAAGTGACTTTGAAGATGAAATGACATAAAATCAAAGGTTTGCTTTAGAATTCTATAGAAGAAAGAGAGATGGGAGGAAGAAAGAGTGAGGGAGAGGGAAGAAGGGAGGGAAGTGAGAGAAATTAAACAAGTGCAACAATATAATATGAAATTATGGAATCTTGGGAACAGGTATATGGACATTCATTACACTGTTCTCTATTTTTATATATGTTTTGTAACACACTTAAAAACTAAAATGGAATGAAAATGAGCATTGTAAATGTTAGATGGTATTTTGGGTTCTAACTATGTTCTTTTATTGATATTAGTTAGAAAAACAGAGTGTGTAATTAATTCTAAATTGGTGAGTGGCTCTTTAGCATTAGAGTCCTAGAGTGGAGGGGATTGCCTCTGCCTATGACTGCAGCCCCCAGCAATAGTGAACAATGGACACAAGCACATGAGCATTCATGCACATGGTTAGGAAGAATTCCAGGTGGAACCTCAGGGCAGTGAAACAGCTTTGGCTATTTCTGAATTGAAAATTTCTGAACAAGCACTTTCAGAGCAAAAGAAAATCAAGCCAAAATGAACTCTTAATATTTCTAAGAGTATTTTTATGCCAAGTACTACCATGATCAAGGCTTCATCAAATAACTTTTTTCCTTTTCTAGGAAGAACTGGAACTATGGTGTGTGTCTGCCTAATTGTCAGTGAAATATTTAAAACTGCAGAGGTATGAAAGATGCTACTATAAATTTTGTCTTATGCTGGTTCTGAAACATCACTAGTAGGATAAGATCATGAGTCATGGTACTTAATGAAATTGTAATTAAAGAGGCTGTTATTAGAAATCCTGGTCTTACTACTTCTTTATTTAACTTGTGTTAGTTATTAACTGACCTAGATACCTCTTACTCTGGGCCAGGACTAGGGTATGGTCAATAAGACACTCACCTTGGGCACAAATTTAAAAGAATGCCAAAAGTCTCATAAGATAAATAATATTTGAATGCAGTATTTTTAGAATCAAAATTAATGCAAAAAATCCATGATGTATACAACATCAACATTTTAAAGACAGGACCCAGTGGGGCAAGATTAAGGTGAGATGAGTAAAGTCACTGAGTTATGCAAGTGCAGAAAAAACTCAGCAGTCAAGATGCTTCGCTTGCCTCACCTAGTCTGGCCTGCTCTTACTCTCACCAATTGTGAGACTTCCTCCTTTCTCACTAGAATAGTATCAAGATTGATTAGATAAGTTCTCTAAAGCAGGGCTCCCCAACCCCTGGGCTGCAGACCAGTACCGGTGGGCAAGCAAGTGAAGCTTCATCTGTATTTGCAGCCACTCCCCAGCACTAGCATCACCACCTCAGCTCCATCTCAGATCATCAGGCATTAGATTCTCATAGGAGCACTGGTCCCATGTGCCAAAAAGGTTAGGGACCACTGTTCTAAAGACCCTGAACATCCTTAGAAGTGCTAGATGGATAAAAGGTAGCTTTTTCCAACTCAAAACAAAGTCTCTCCTGAATGCTATTATCTTTGCATAGTCAATATCTGTGGGGTCTCTGCCCCTGGAAATTTCGGAGAAGACAGGATGGGCTGTCTCTGCTTCTTAAAACAGGATGCTCAGTCGTTTTTCCTGCCATGATCTTGTTGAGAAGTTACTTCTTAGAGGACACACTCCTAGTAGCTCTGCTCCTCACCTGGCCTGCAATCTAGTTAAGAGAAACTGTGTTATGCACAATGCTCAACACTCTTAATTCTATCATTTTCTTTTTTTTTCTAATTTGTGACACACAGGTCATGAAAATGGATGTTCTAGGACAACGTTTTTCAAACTATGGATCACAATCTATCAGAGAGTTGTAAAATCAGCTTATTGACTTGTGACTAGTATTTTTTTTAATGGAATAGATTGGAAAATATCAAGAAGTAAATATTGTTTTGTGAAACTTTTGTTTCAATTGTGTTTATATATCTCCTAGGTTTATTAATGTGGATTGTAGCTTTAAAAATAAACCATCTGAAGCCATTGATCTAGAGCCTTAGACTGAGATCAGAGACCTGTGCTCTAGGCCTGTGCTTTCTCAAAGTGGCTGCATACATCTCTGTGACAGGTCACTTGGTTTTCTTTTGGTCTCAGTCTTCTCCATTTGTAAAATGGAAAGGTAGGAAGAAGGACCAAATGATCTCTAAGGTCTTTCCATCTCTAAAATCCCATGTCTTTATGAATCTTTGAATGAGAGCAGGCCTTAATGTGGCTTTGTTAATTTTGTTATTTTGGGAAGCTTCTGCCCAAAGACCTCTGACTTAGGAAAATAATGTTCCCTTAGAAACTTTAAGAATGCCTGAAAGTGCAGATGAACAATGATTGAATTGTCCCCATTTCTATAGGACAGCCTTTATTATTTTGGAGAACGACGAACAGATAAAACCTCCAGCACTAAATTCCAGGGAGTAGAAACACCTTCTCAGGTAAGTTTTCTTTTTAGGAAGGGGGTTCTCTGGGTAATTGGATTAAGATTGACACCTATTATTTAGTTTCGTTTTAGATTCTTTTTGTTGATCAGGCGCTAGCACTTGGGTGCCCTGTGACAGGGCTTAATCCCTCCCCATGGTTGAGAGCCATACCTCAGGCACTGCCTGAGTTTTGTAAGCATTGGGTTCTACCCCAGAACATTCTGCTTTCCATTTTCTGTTGGTTATTGATTATGGAGTTCAGGAGTTGATTCCCTTCCCAAAGCACGAATGTCTACTAAGGTTTCAGATCTCTGAAGACTATTTAAAGTCATCAGCCATGTATTTCCTATGGAGAGGAGCTGAGTCTTTTACATCTCCCAACTAGGGCAATTCAACCCTTGTGAAATATCATGAGTGTGTGTGTGTGTGTGTGTGTGTGTGTGTGTGTGTGAGAGAGAGAGACAGAGAGACAGAGAGACAGAGACAGAGACAAAGTCAGAGACAGACAGAGAGACAGAGTGGGGCTGTATTTTGGGGGGGAAAGGAGAAAATTAACATTTTTCAAAAACCTATTATATATCAGACACTATTATACACTAATATATTGCACTTGTAAGTGTATTATCTCATTTAATACTTAGATAATTCATGTGAAATATATGTTATCACTCTAATTTTTCCCTTTAAACATGTTTTATTATGGAAAATTTCAAACATAAAAAGTTTGGACAGTTATACAGTAAATCTCCTTATACTTATTACATCACTTTAACAATCACTTATTCATGCGGCCTACCATGTTTCATCCATTTCCTCCCCACTCTACTCTCTCTCTCTCTCTCTCTCTCTCCTTTCTCTAAACCTGGATTTTTTTTAAGGAAATTCCAGCCATCAGATTATTTTATCTCACAAGTAATTTAGTACGACATCTAACAAAAAGGTTCAAAAAGTAAAAACCTCTTAAAACTATGTATCATATCTAAAAATATGATAATAATAATATCTTAATAATATTAAAAGTCTAGTTCATGTTTAAATTTCCATCATTATCTTAAAATCTTTTAAAAATTAAGTTGTTTCAGTCAGGATCCAAACAAGGGCCAGACGTTTCACTTAGTTACTGTGTCTCTTAAATCTCTTGTAGTTTATAGGTTTCTTGCCTCTTTTTTTTCCCCTTGTAATATGCTGCAGGACCAGGATATTCATCCTATAGAGTTTACAGCATACTTGACTTTTTTAAACCTTGCTAAGGGTTTTACATTCATTATATTATTTAATATTCTCAATAACTCTGTGATTAGATATCATTATGATTCCTATTTTACAGATTTGGAAATTGAGGTTCAGGGAAATTAACTTTTTGAAACAAGGACTCAAATCCAGATCTGTCAGACCCTGAAGCCTGTTATTTTCCCATTCTGTGCACAGCTTCTGATCTATAATCTATATTACCCCTCAAACTGAAGTGAAAGCTGGTTGGGAATTCTTAAATAGAATGGATGTGGCTGTGAATGAAAGCGTTCTTTGGGTGAAGTGATGTGAAGTGCAAAGCAGAACACTATAACTGCTGGCTCCAGACATTTAGTTGAGGCAAAAGAACCTGAGCCTTATCCCCTGAAACTTTTCTGCCATCCCCAAGCAAAAAGAAAAAAAAAAAAGTAGCAATAGGCCATAGGCTAAAAGCAATGCATGAACTTACTGAAGCACAGCTCAGCTCTAACCATGCTATTTCCATGCTCTAAATTCTTAATGGATTTTGATTGCCAATGGCAACACATATAAATGTTTTAACCTGGCACTCAAGATTTAAGATTTGATTTTTCCAACTATTTCTACCACTAACTGCATTCACATGTCCCACACTCTAACACTTTCGGACCGTTTGCTGTTTCTCAGCCTGCCAGCACTTTATACCCACATGCCACTGTTCACACGGGCCCCTTTTCCTGAAGTCCCTTGCCCTTCCGAGCCTGAAGCAGTCTCCTGCTCTTTCAATTCTTGTAGCCTTTTGTGTTTCTTTTAGAGACTAGTTTACTTTACATTATTCTCTAGCTATTTGCAGTGGTGACTTTACCCCTTCTGCAGTCAAAGCCCATGTCTTACCCACATTTCCACCCTAGACATCCCAAAATGCCTTCACAAAGTATCTCTTCTGTTTGTAACAAGTGCTTACTAAATATATGTTGGTTTTGTTAACTCCTGCTACAGGCCCCTGTTGTTTTAGTCTGTAAGAGAAGGAAGAGTGAGAGCAAAGCAGCTTGAAGGCCATGGTGGGTTATAAGCCTTAAGTAGCGGGTAGAGAATCTGGGTTTAGGAGCCAAGGGAATGTTAGATGTAACTTCTTCCAGGACTCTTCTTGTACATCTTTCCTTCCCCATTTCTTCTGCAGTCATGCACCGTTTCTCTAACTTTAGTCCAGAACTGGCACATCCTAGGTTACAACAGAATCTTTTCTGATTCACTAGGATAGCAATGTAGGGCTCTGCCTCAGGTTTGAAAGCTGTGTTGGCAAGGCCCCAGAGTTCCCTGTGTGGGTTGCTGTTGCTCAGATATTATCACATTATGACCCTGCACTGCCAGCCATTCTATATGGACTACATTTCATCCACTCCTGAGTTAAAAATCTGCACAAGCCTTTCTCTTAACTGGCCCTTTCCAATGGAAAGGGCCACTTAATTTTATTAACACTTCCTGACAGATGGGGAAGAGTCTGTGAACTTCTGAGTCCAGTCGATTCAGTACCAGAACTCTTTAAGAAGAGTGAGCAGCTTGCCACAGGAGAAGGACTAGACTAAGAGAATTCCCAGGTCTTCGTTGCAAAAATAGAATTGGGGAAATGGAAAATGAAGAAACTCCAGTGGACAAGAAAAGAATGCATATCTACCACTGGCCTATGGAGGTCTTCCTTTTGAGTTTTCACATCTGCTATTCTCTCATACCTAGGAGGCTACTCGCCACCAAACCATAAACCTTCCTTTACTCCGTCACAAATAAGCTTTTACTCTCAGATATGTTTGTTCCCAGTTGCAGTTCACTGCATCTCTCTATAATGTTGTAGCTGTTTTGTTGGTTCTGGTTAGTGGCCCTCTCAATAATAGCATCCTGTAAGCAACTCCTGATTCCTTTCTTATTACTTCCCCGTAGCGTTTTTTCAGTTGCAAGGCAACATCCATAAAAATATCTAGTTATATAATGGCACCAATAAATATTTCCTTAATAATGAATTACTCTCCTTAAGTTCAATGTAAAAAAAAAAAAATTAAGAAGTGCTGGCTTTTCATTTTCACTTAAATCGAGGCTTCTGTTGTTTTTCAGAATAGATATGTTGGATATTTTGCAGATGTGAAAAATATCTACAATTTGACTCTCCCTCCAAGAAAAATACTCACGATAAAAAAAATTATTATTTATTCAATACATGGTAAGTGCTTTATGTATTATTGGAGAATTGGGCCAGAAGGCCAATGTTCTTACTACTTGAGAGAGTTTTGCTTATCATTATCTATACAGACAATCTCAACTCATAGTAGTGCTGTTACGTATCCATATATGAACCCCTCCCCTTAGAATTGCCATCAGCCCACTGGTACTATATCATCAACCTTTAGATGTCTTCTGTTTTCCTTTCCCATTACCAGCGTTGGGGGCTCTATCCCCTTCCCTTTTCTCCTGTTCTTACTGATGTGCTGGCATCAGTCCAGAGTGGACTTTTCAGAGTAGAACCTCTGATGGAGAAAAGAGAAGGGCCCATAGGTCCTGGGGACCATTTCTTTCTCATACTCATCTCTAATTCAGGGTTCATCTAGGCAGAGGCATCCCTGTATCATTTTTCTCACCTATACCTTTCAATGACCCTTTCTTTCTCATACCCTAGTTTCTCCTTTTTCCTTCCCTCCTCCATCTGTAGCTCCCTCACCTTCAGCAACTCCATCAAGATGTCTTAAATACCTGAACTGCAAATGAATTTTGTTGCCACAAATTCTTTTTACAAATAACTACTGAGTACTTACTTTAGGCTAGGCCTCATGCTAGTGTTTCTCTGCCCATAGGAGTCCCTGGGTGGTAAGCAGAGAAGGAAAACAAGTACATAGATAAAGAGCTTACCACAGTGTGGGGGCACACAGAGACTGTGCCCTGTCCAGCCTAGGGGTCAAGAAAAGCTTCCTAGGGGGACAGCACATAGGTCTTCCTTACGTAAATCTACATGAACATGGAAAGAGTTGGGGGAAACCTGGACTCTGTGGGGGGCTTTCCAGTCCCCTAGCTGTTACCAATTATTACCACAAATAAAAATCCTTATAAACTTTAAAAGAGCTGACTGTCTGTTTCAGGAATATAAGGAGAGAGACTCGGATCCACCATCAACCAATGGGATAGGAAATTGGTCTGATCATCCATCTATCTATGGGACTTGAGAAAGGAAAGAAAGAGTGGTGGGGAGAGGAATTGGCCTCAAGTCCCATGTCTCTATTTTTCTATCAATCACCCACCTTGCTTCCCTGCAAAGCTCACTTTTAGGAGAGGTGAGAAAGCAAGGATGTGTCAGTGTGGACAAGATGGGGCCTCATTTGGCTTTGCAGAGGAAGCGCAGGGGATGAGGCTTTCCATTCTTTAAAGCAGCAGCCAGACTATGGACCACGAGGAATTGTAAAGATCTGGGACTCTTGAGGTTTGGTATGGTACCAGGACGTTGGCATCCACCCAGATGGCCCAGTGTGTTAAGTCTTTTGAGGAGTCACACAAAATAAGATCTAAACATATATTTTAAAACATTTCATCTAATTATTCAGAAATTTAAAAAAAGTCTTTAGAATGTATTTTAAAACAGCATAGTCAGAAAATAAATTAAAATTGTTACTTAAAATATAAATTTTTTTCAATTTATTTACATAGCCCCACCCCCACCCCACATGCATACCCGTATCATCAACACTTCTTATTGGCGGTGAGGAATTTTAATGGATTACCACAGATTACATAGGTTTCTGAAAACAACTTCAGCCCAGTAACATAGCCTCTGTGGGAAATTTTGTTCTAGATTTCCATATAAGCTTTGTACAGGCAGACCATTGAAACACCGCTTGTTGTGGCAGGAGGCTGCCTGTGCATATAAATGAGCAATTGCTTGTGAAAAGGCTTTGTAGACAGCACAGTCCTCTACAAAAATCATCATGACTGTCTCATAGGATGTATGGGAATTATGACAGAGAGGGTTATATGGGATCCTAACGGAACCCCAACTCTTGTCAGACCTCTCCAAAATAGAGCCAGGCCTATGGTAGAAGGTAGGGGAACAGCAGTGCCTTGCTCCCCTTCCTGTCCAACTCAGCAGAGTCCTGCAAAAAGAGCTAGACTGCTTTACTCTGTAGTGAGAGAGGCAACACAGTTGGCTGTTGGAGCAGCTTCTTCCCAACTATAAAAGCAGCTCAGTGGTGTGAGGGCCTGTACTGTACCTGAATTTATACTCTGCCCAAATTTCCTCTTTGTTACCAATGAGAATAACAATATTTATACAAAACTCTAAGTATTTTTTTATTTTTCAATTAGAGTTGTATTCAATATTATTTCTATTAGTTTCAGGTGTACAGTATAGTGGTTAGACATCTATATACTTAACTAATCCCTTCGATTAGTCTAGTATCCACCTGGCACTATGCACAGTTATTAATATATTATTGACTATATTCCCTATAATGTACTTCACAACCCCATGACTATTTTGTACTTCTTAATCCCTTCAGCTTTTTTATACAGTCCCCTAACCCCACACCCATCTAGCAATCCCCAATTTGTTCTCTGTATATATGAGTGTTTTTATTTTGTTTGTTTATTTTGTTCTTCCATTCCATAGATAAATGAAATCATATAGTATTTGTCTTTCTCTGTCTGATTTATTTCACTTAGCATAATACCCTCTAGGTCCATCCATGTCATTGCAAACGGTAAGATTTCAATTTTTATGCCTGAGTAATATTCCGCTGTGCGCGCGCGTGTGTGTGTGTGTGTGTGTGCGTGTGTGTGTATACTGCATCTTTATCCAATCATCTATTGATGGGCACTTATATTGCTTCCATATCTTGGCTATCATAAATAGTACTGCAGTGAACATAGGGGTGCATATATCTTTTCGAAATAGTGTTTTGCTTTTCTTTGGATAAGTACCCCAAAGTTCAATTTCTGGCTCTTAAGTTAGTTCTATTTTTAATTTTTTGAGGAATCTCCAAACAGTTTTCTATAGTGGCTGTACCAATCTGCAACCCTACCAACAGTACATGAAGGTTCCCTTTTCTCTACACCTTCACTAACCGCTCGTTTGTTGATTTATTGATGATAGCCATTTTGACAGGTGTGAGGTGATATCTCATTGTGATTTTAATTTGCATTTCTCTGATGTTAGTGAGAATCTTTTCACATATCTATTGGCCATTTGTATGTCCTCTTTGGAGAAATGCCTATTCAGATTTTCTGCCAATTTTTTAATTGAATTGTTGTTTTTTGGTGTTGAGTTGTATGAGTTTTTTTTATATATTTTGGATCTCAACCACTTATCAGATATACCATTGGCAAATATCTTCTCCCATTCAGTAGGTTGTCTTTTTGTTTCGTTGATGGTTTCCCTTACCCAAGAAGATATATAGGAATTTATGGTCTCAGGTCTTACATTTAAGTCTGTAGTCCATTTTGAGTTTATTCTGGTATATGATATAAGAAGTTGGTTCAGTTTCATTTTTTGCATTATCCGTCCAGTTTTCCCAACAGTGTTTATTGAAGAGACTGTCTTTACCCCATTGTATATTCTTGCCTCCTTTATCATGGATTAAATGGGCATATAAGCATGGGTTTATTTCTGAGCTCTCTCTTATGTTTCATTGATCGATGTATCTGTTTTTATGCCAGGGCCATGCTCTTTTGATTACTATAGCCTTGTAGTATAGTTTGATATCAGATAATGTGATACATCCAGCTTTGTTCTTCTTTCTCAAGATTGCTGTGGCTATTAGGGGTCTTTTATGGTTCCATATACATTTTAGGATTATTTGTTCTAGGTTGGCGAAAAATGCCATTGGTGTTTTGATAGGGATTGCATTGAATCTATAGATTGCTTTGGAAAGTATGGACATTTTACCAACATTAATTCTTCCTATTCGTGAACATAATATATGTGTCCATTTATTTGTATGTCTTCAATTTCTTTCTTCAGTGACATAGTTTTCTGAATACAGGTCTTGTACCTTCTTGGTTAAATTTATTTCTAGGTATTTTATGTTTTGATGCAATTGTAAATGGGATTGTTTTCTTAATTTCTCTTTCTGATAGTTCATTATTGGTGTATAAAAATGCAACCAATTTCTGAATATTAATTTTGTATCCTGCTATTTTACTGAATTCATTTATCAGTTTCAACAATTTTTGGTAAAATATCTATGGTTATTTCTATATGTAGTATCATGTAATCTGCAAATAATAACAGTTTTACTTCTTTCCTTCCAATTTCAATGCTTTTATTTCTTTTTCTTGACTGATTGCCATGGCCAGGACTTCCAATACTATGTTGAATAAAAGTGAAAGTGGGCATCCTTGTCTCATTCCTGATATTAAGGAAAACACTTTTAGCCTTTCCCCATTGAGTATGATGTTAGCTGTAGGTTTGTCATATATGGCCTTTATTAAGTTGAGGTATGTTCTCTCTATTCCCACTTTGCTGAGAATTTTTATCATTAATGGATGCTGGATTTTGTCAAATATTTTTTCCACATCTACTGATATGATTATATGACTTTTATGTTTCAATTTGTTAATGAGGTGTATCACATTAATTGATTTGCAGATATTGAACCAACCCTGCATCCCAGGAATAAATCCAACTTGATTATGGTGTAGGATCTTTTTAATATCTTGCTGAATTCAGTTTGCTAATATTTTGTTAAGGATTTTTGCATCTATGTTCATCAGGGATATCAGCCTATAATTTTCTTTTCCTTTAATGGCTTTGTCTGGTTTTGGAATCAGGGTAATGGTGGCCTCATAAAATGAGCGTGGGAGCCTTTCTTCCTCTAAAATTTTTTGGAATAGTTTGAGAAAATTAGGTGTTAATTCTCCTTTGAATGTTTGGTAAAATTCACCTGTGAGGCCATCTGGTCCAAGACTTGTGTGTGTTGGAAGTTTTTTAATTACTGATTTGATTTTGTTAGTAGTAAGCAGTCAGTTCAGACTTTGTTTTTCCTTGACTCAGCTGTGGAAGATTGTATGTTTCTAGGAATGCATCCATTTCTTCCAGATTGTCCAATTTGTTGACCTATAATTGCTCGTAGTATTTTCTTGTATTTCTGTGGAGTCAGTAGTCACTTCCCCTCTTTCATTTCTGATTTTATTTATTTGGGTTTTAAATTTTAAAAATCTTAAATTTATCGATTTTGTTTA